GAGGGCTAAGAATATATTCAGGTAATAAATACTGAACACTGTCACTGTTATTACCAGGCCATTTAAGTGACAAAATAATGTTTAGTTATCCTGTTATGGAGAACATTCAACAAAGACATCACCCTCTAAGTAAATACAGGCATTATACAAAATAGCTGCACAAAGAAAACTTGATAAGACATAGAACTTATTTGATTTGTCATTTCTCTTAGAACTGAGGTCACTGACATAACTATTTATACACCACAACACTTACATAAGATACAAGCTAGAGCAAAACTAAAGTGAAAAGATACTATTTTTCATGACATAGAGCAAATTCCGTCATCTAAAGGAAGTCACCTGTCTAAGCAGTACCCACATTTTGACAGGCTAAAAATACACAAATAAGGTTGTTCACATTTAGGCTCACTTGTGGGCAACAACAATCAGTGACTATAAAATTAAAACATGAATATAAGTAGAAGGGCAAAACCTTTGTCTTAGTATCTTGGCATAAAAAAAATCACTTTCTTATCAGCTCCTTTAATCTTTTTGAAACATTCAGGACAGACAGATGAAACCTGCTAACACTAATCTCCCACCAACCTTTCCTCCATCTGCATGATACTCTTTCTCGTCTGCATTGAGGAGCTTGGCCAGACCAAAATCGGTGATCTTGACATGCTGAGGAGTCTTCACCAGGACGTTTCTGGCTGCCAAGTCACGGTGCACCAAGTGGCGCTCTTCCAGGTAGTTCATACCCTTTTGTCCAACAAATGGTGACGTGCAGGTTATTACATAGGAGCAAAGCTTTATTTTCACTAGCTGACTGATATGTCAGAACATGAGGACTTGGCTTGATCAGACACAACAAAAGACCTATGTCATGACAGACTTGTCACCATCTTCAGGAGGTGCATCAATACATTTTTTGCAAGTGCTGTGTAAAAAAGGTTGCACAAAGACGAAGAATATCTGCAGCTGCTCTTTCTTTCTTGTTTATTCTTTCATTTCTACATGAACATAACAATGTTTTGACTACAGAAAAGTCTTCCTCGGACTTGTCGCCACCACCTGATGTCTTTCGACAAATTATCTTAGCAGTTGAAGGCTGTGAATACTGTAGCCGTTGTAAAAACAACTTGCACCGCAGAAATGCTTGTTGATTTTTATCACATGCCCTTTATGATTTAAAAACCTATTGTACAGCATGAAAACACTGGATAAACAGCATTAATACTATATAAAACAACGCCATTTTGTACCGTATGTATATAAAATAAACAACAACAGCCCCTTATAGGTCGGTCCCATTGAACAAATCCTAATATACTGAATGCAACCTGATGCCTTTACGAGGTTTCACTCTTACCTTGGCTATCTGGACACACCAGTTAAGCAGGTGCTGGGAGCCAATGTTGTCCTTGTTCTCTTTGACATAGTCCAGCAGGCAGCCGTAGGGCATCAGCTGGGTGACGAGCTGCACTGTGGAAGTCAGGCAGATGCCAAGCAGGCGACACACATGGGGGTGTTCCACACTCGCCATCACATAAGCCTCCTGTAATGTGCACACAGACAATTTTTTTTTTTGTCATTCCATTTTTAATATTATCAGTGGGCAGACGGGTGACAAGTACAACAAAACATCCTTCTCTTGTGATAAAGAAAATAGTGTAATTCACCCTGATAGATTATAGACAAAAAAGAAACTGCCTGTTTGAGTAACATGTTTCCCAGCCTATTCCATCTTCCACAGAACAATACTGGTAAAAGTGTTTACACGTATCCTGATAACTGATAGCTTGAGAAACATAACATCTATGGAGATCCACTGTTGGGCAATACAGTATGTTTCATAACAGCAGGCATACTCAGTCGACTGTATTTAATGTGGCTCAGCTCAGAGTGAAAACTTGTCATAACAGAAACGACTTAAAAAAAAAAAAAAAAACCACGGGGATAATCCTCACTGGCCACCAACAAAAGGCTTCCTGCAATGAGACCTGTTCAAACAGCACTTCAAACTGAGCTTTATTTAGTAGGTTTCCTGCCATGAGCACATTAATTGTATCCCAAATATTTTCTGCATGATTATTATTATTATTCAGTAAGTACCCACTTCTTTGCTTGGAGCTCTGTAATTCCTGCACTTTGATGCAAAGGACACTTCAAAGCCTTTAACAATCTTTTCCCTTTAAGGAGCAAGTCATGAAGTTCAGACAATGTGGGTGTCTGCCACAACAGCATCCAGATGTAGACTGACTGAGCAAATTGACCACAGCATCACAGGATGTGTGATGCACATTCAGCTGTTTGCATCTTGAACAGGCTGCTTTCTCAGCGCTGCCTCAGGACTGCGTTCCTGTCCAAAACACCTCAGACTTAGATTACACACCAAGCCCACATGTGGCTTTCTAATTAATATCCTACAGCCCCCATAAGAAGGTCGCCAAGTAGAAACACAACATGTTCTATATTACAGGACAAATAAGTTATTATTAGGGTAGACATAAGGTGCAGGTGCTGTAAATTGCAGGATACATTACTGTTAAACTAAAATCTGGCAAACAATACTTGCCATTCACTGTGTAGCACAGTGAATATACTTCAAATCAAATATAATGCAATAATTATTAAAAATGTCCACAGTATTTAACTTTTATGGTTCCACACTTTGCTGTGCTCCAACACATCCCACATTTTGCCAAAGTAGTTTGGGAAATAACATTTTACATGATAAATCAGTATTACAGTATGCTTAGAGTCTAATAAACAGTACCACGTAAATCAGTGAACCTACATCCAGTATTTCTTTGTTTGCTTTTGGTGATGTGGCTTCTCTCAAAACCTTGATGGCTACTGGGATCTTTACATCCTCTCCCTCTGGAACCCACAGGCCCTGTATGAACACAAGTTTGTTATTTGACAGACTTAGATCACACCTGAACCATCAAGTGAACATATGTGCATACATGAAAATGTTAGCATCAACAAGGAAATTACAAAACTGATATGCATGCAAACCTAATTTTAACACTATAACTAAGCCTTAACCCTCAAATAACTCTTTGAAACATGTCCTCACTATCAAGGTATAAAACTGAAGTCCTCTCAAAGCTAGAAATCCAAGAGCACAGGCACACAGAGAACATTGGGTTGACTTACATATTCTCTCATGAGATTTATTTTAACCCTAACCTAAAATAAACCCTTATCCTTATTCTGACATTGTGAGCACTAGCTTTCTATCCCATTCAGGAGGATGGGTTCATATATCCTCAGAAAATGTACATTAATGCAAATATATACACACAGCGTTGGAAGTGAAAGTCACTCACGTTTGCAAGTTTAAAATGTCTCTTAGTTGAAAATTGACAACAGATGTAGCCGAGTGAAAACATTAACAGGTGCTGGTTATGAGGCACATCCAGTGCTCCTGAGCTTCAGCTTGTGTAAAGCTCAGCACTACAGCTTTGACAACAAGGTGTCTGACACACAAAGCTAGGCTATGTTATTACCTTGTAAACAGTGCCAAAAGCCCCTGATCCCAGCACTTTGATTTTCTTAAATTCAGGCTCCTTCAGGATTCGCAGTAGAGCCTGGTTTGGTGCCTCTCCACTTGGAGTCAGGGGTTCAACCAACTGGAAAAAAGACTTAAATGTCTTCAAGCCTGTCTCATAAACAGCACTAGTGATTCTTTTACAATGGACTGTAGTAGATCAATTTTAAATGCAAATTATACCAAACAAATCTAACATTCTAAATATAACAGGAAACATATATCTGCGCTTTCCATTTGAAAATACTGAAGACAATTAAAAATGGCTTTTATAAATTAATCTTAACATTTTAGTGTCTTGATGTCTCCCTACAAGCAGTTACTCAGTTTCCTAGTCTTACCTCTTTCTCTTGGAGCAGTCTGCGCATGGTCCTCTTTCTCTTGATGTGGCGTCGGCGTAGCAACACAAACACAGAGAGACCTGCAATGAACACAGCCAGCAGCCCACCGACTACACCAGCAGCAATCATGGAAAGACCTGAATTGCTGAAAGACAGGTGGGATTTAAGCATGCAAGATAGAAAACAGAGCACATTTGTGAATTTAATTAACATAGAGAGATGAGATTAGGATGTTTAACTTAGGCAAAGTCACTGTATCCTTAAGCATGGAAGTTCAGTATTACTCTATGTACTCACCTTCTCTGGCAGCCTTCGAGACCAGGCCCAACGCACCTATAAACAAAGTGATGCAAAGAATCTCATGTGACCATATTGTCACTGTGCTTTCATACCACAAAGCCAGCACTCAAGGAAATTCTTTACAATTGGTTTTCACCAATCAGTGTTGCTAAACTTATGTCATTTCATGAAAAACTGTTCCATCATGGTTGTACAAAAAAAAAGAAAAGCTGATGATTTCTGCCAATAAAAGCATCCAAGTTCTCTGAAATCTGCTATGAGTGTAGAAAACTGCATCAATCACTGGGATTGACTGGGGTCATCAGTCATCATCTGTAAACCTCCATGGTGATAAGTCCATCACTGTGAACATAAGGTCAGCTTTCATTCCTGTTAAAGGTATTGTTGGTTTGTCCCGTAATGCAGGGCAGACCTCTGTTCATTGAATATTGCAATAAATAAAACCAATGGGAGCCCAGAAAATGTGAAAAAAACAACCCAGGGACGTCCTAATCCAGTTTTTATGGAAAATGAGGGTTTAAAAAAAAAAAAAAAAGAAACAGGAGTAAAAATACAAAAACCTATTAAGGTGGCATTTGACTCTACTGCATCTCTCCAAAATTGTCAGATTTCAACATTTATGTCAACAAAATGGTTCCATGACTGAAACAGAGCTCTCTCCGATCTTTGCCAAAAGAACTGCAGCTGACCCTTCTGATTTGGATTAAGTTAATGCATTAACATTACTACTGCAGCGTGTTCTTTCATGAAGAATAATCAGAATCGAATATCAATTTTCAAACATTTATTATCATAACTAAACAGACCATCGAATAAAGCAATTTACAGAGCTCTGGGTTCCATCTCTATCTGAAGCCCTGACCTCAACAGCAAAACCATTCAACTCGTCTTCAGGACGAGAAGGAACACTGTCCTCCTCTATACATATACAATTTCAAATGTGCCCTTGTAGGCTGGTCCGGTCCTCTCGTGCTGTTCTATTGGTCCATCTATCCATCTGTCCTCCTCCTGCATCTTTTCTGCTCCAATGGGAAAAACAGCTTCCTAAAGATGGAGGAAATTCTACTGTCTGAATTGCTACACTCACTTCTGCCTTTGTTACACTATATGTGACATGGCTTCCCGTTTGGCTAATTAAACTGTCTTGCCTGTGTGTGTCTGTATATTGCCCTGCCTTTGAAGTTGTCTTCCTCTTGTTGGCTTTTAGATCTAATCTCTTGTTTATTACCCTTGGTGTCCCAGTCACCCCAAATTCCCTGGCCTCTTCAGCCAGGTGGTGATAATAAAGTATCTGTGGACCCTCTTTGCTAAAGCTGTAAATCTAATGAGATTCGGTGTTTTAGTAAACCAGTGCCCTTGATGTCAAACAGTGCTCCAGTTGGCTAACACAATAAGTACTAGGCAAGAATTCAGTGAACACATAGAATGATATACTCAACTATGTAAACATAAAATTGTAACATATAAGTAAGCAAACTTATGTGTGCTCTAAACTAAATCTTAACTATGATAGAATTACCATACGCAAAGTAAACACACAGGTTGACTAATCAACAAGCATAATGTTAATCTTCTACTAATTAAGTTCTTAATTCATCAAATGTTAGAATCAACCTTAAAGTATGACTTTGTTAATAATTTTACCCAACACTACATATAAATATTTGCTACACAGGGAAATACAATGCCAGTTCTCAGTTTGGTAGAACAGTGCTTTTACCCCTGAGTGCAGTTTTCGTGACATAGCTGGCACATTTTCATCTCATCTGCGTATTTCCACACTAGCATGTCGTCCTCTCCGGGAACGCCTTGGGGGCAGCGAGACACACAGAACAGACCGTCTTGGTAGTTTGCACACTTAGTACAGTTTCCAGAACCCTGAAAGCAAAAAAGAAGAGTCATAATATTTACAATTCTTCAGAAGAGCAGAAAATGCCATGCACACTGTACTATCTCAGTATGAATTTCTCAAAGCAAGCTCTAACAACCATCCTCATAAATGCAAATGTTAAGGTGAGGAAAACCACCCAGTCATGTTAGGGGCTTTATTTTAGGCCAGTACAACTTAGTCCTCTGTTATACTACATACCTCTTTCTCAGCCTGTCTGTCTACTTCTATATTTGAAGCCCGCATTTCCCAGAATTACTTTTCACAAACCCAAAAAGGGGCCTGAACTTGTTTTCAATCAAAGATTGGATTATGAATGTATAAAAGAAGCCGGCCAAATAGATTGCATAGCCACAAGCCTTATTCAGAACCCAACATGCCTTGTGGCTGCACTGCATTACAGTTTAATAAGGCTTCTTTCTGTTGACGGAGAAACTGGTAGCACTAACACTTCTGAAACACATTTCATGCTGCGTAATTGTTGATTTGAATTCTGACTGGCACTAAACATTTACTGTTGATATTTTAGATTCATAAATAATCTTACATGGCTTTTTATGAATGTTTGTAATAATAGCTTAGCTGTTGGTGACACACATACAGGCGCACTGCAGGTTGCAGTTCCATTCATGCGTTGGCATTCGGGGTGACAGTCCATGCAGGCTTTATTCACGACTGCTTCCCGTGGCTCTCTGCAAAAACAATAATAAAGCTGACAGACTCTCACTGCTGGTGCACCTCGTTTCAAACAGTTACATGTGAAGTGAAATTCTTGATCCCTTTTTGAGGGCAGAAGTTAACCTGTAAGCAAGATTCAATGTTTGACAGAGATCGGCAATGATAAACAGATGTGAGTCAATTTGCCATTTCAGCTGCAATGTTTGTCTTAGATCTGCCGGAGGTTTAACTTCAAAATACCTTGGATTGTATTTTGGTTTTAGCATTGCTTTCAATAACAAATCATCCCTCCACAACATCTAATGTCACAGTCTGGAAATGCTCATGGTATGAAAATAGACTTTCAAGGAGAATAGAACGAACAGATCTGATGCTCAGTCTGTTTGTTTGTCTAAAACAAGGAAGACTGCATGTCAGAGCTTAAAAGGCAGTAAAATTTAGATTCCTCCTTTACCCCTCCAGGATGTTGCAAGAGTCAACACAGCTCCCACCACGGCTGTAACCACGGCAGGGCAAACCAACGTCCCGGGCCGCCGCCCCCCACGTTAGCCGATTGCGGTACACTTCCTGTCACACGTTTTGTTCCTCAGAGCTGAAAACAAACATACAACCTCAGTAAGAGATCTTTCCCACATAATTATCCAATTTTGAAGTTAGGCTTCAATAATTAAATCTGGCTTGTGCATTGTGTAATCAAAAGTTATACAACAAACAACTAAAGGATCCAAATGGATTTAGTGTGGGCATCAAAATTCAATTTACCACATGCGTCAGCATCAGCGTTATCCTCTATTGTAGCACTTTGGCGTTCTGACTTGAAAAGCCCCTTCCAGTGACTTTTATTAGTGTAGCACAGGTTCTGATTCTTAACAATAACCACATCTCCATCGCTGATTTCTTTGAGGGACCGAAGGCCCAGGTAGTCGATACTGAGCTGAGTCATAACCACGCTGCGGCTACCACTACCAAGAAGAAAAAGGTGGAACAGGAAGAGATTTAATGACAGACTTTAATAATACTCAACTCTTGAAAAACAAATTTATTCTTTGTGATCCAGTGGCTGTGAATCATACCGTTTAGTTCGTCCTCGAATGATCTCCAGATTTTCAAAAGGACTGAGCGAGGTCATGCTCTCTGGCCATGTTTGAATCCACAAGTACCCTGAAGCAACACAGTTTGTTAATTGTGAAATCTTTTAGAATGTATTTAGTGTCATGATTTACTCAGGTCATATGCAGTCTTACCAGTAATTTCTTTAACTGTCTTAAACACATCGAGCTGCGCAGGAACCATCTTTGGTGTTTTGGTAAATGCATCCCTAAAAAAACAAACAAACATGTTAGCGGCTAATGGCATAGGTGCTCAAAAGTGTATTACAGCTGATATAGTCAGCATGAGGGCTGCGGTGCTGTTAATGTACTTGACCTACCCGTAAATCGATGTGTGGATGATAGCTATGTTACCATTGATTTTGGTGCAGTTTTTAAATGAGTCAATGTTGGTGGCATTGATAGACAGGATGCGAGTCAGATCTCCTGTTCCGAGTCCATTGCACACTATAAACAGTTCAGAAAACAAATATTAATACAGAAACTCTTGACCTTATTCTAATTTTGGTATTTTTCTGAACCAAAACAAGCAAAACTTTGTCAAAAGCTGGTGGAAGTACTATAATATTCTGACCCTTTATTTAAGCAAAACAAGGAATGCCACAAGGTAAAATCTGATTAAAAATACTCATTATGATCATCACAATGTACTTAAAGTTAAGCCTGTAGATTAAATGCTCAAAGAGGTACTGTATATTATTATTTATTAAAATATTAGATTATTAGTAGTGATGCATTAACATGAAAGTAGCAGTATCATGTAGCTGACCAAGGTAGAGCTAATTTTAATAACAACAGAGCTAAGTTTTTGCATACTATTCAGCAGCCACAGCCGGCTTCCTGTTAGCATAGCATAACATAAAAAAGCTTTTGTAAAAACTAAATACTAAAATGTTGTGAAGCTGAAGTTTGAATAGCATAAAAATGGAAGCACTCGAGTACTTCTGAATAAGTAAATGTATTTAGCTATACTCAACCACTGCAGTATGAACAGTATATGAGTGAAAAATGTATCTCCAGGTTCCACAGTGACAGCTTAGCCCCCAACCTTTTGGACACAGTCCGTCACACTTGGCGCACTTCCTAATTCCTCCCTCGTCCACCTCGTATGTGTTGCCGCTGCACGCCCGCACACACGCGCCATGATCGGTCACAACATAGTTATCTGGAATGATTGCAAAATAAAAGCAGTGTACATCATAATGACATGCTGTAAATTTGGAGATTGTTCATTACAAATCACCACCAAAACATTAAAACTAATATGAATGTGTTTTTTGGCAGTAATAAACTGAGTTATACCACATATGACTATAGGTACATACTAATCCTGTAGGCTGTACATTATAGCCTAAATAGTACTGGGCCAGACCTGTACAAATTAAACTGAGCGAGAGCAGTTGTTACATTAACTCAATCATTTTCTCTCTTTGTTCATACAATTTATAATCAATCTGAGACACTGTAAGCAGTGAGTGTCTAACAGCCCTGAATGACAACCTGGGCTCTTGTTCAGCATACCACATTGTGAAAACACGCATAATCATGCATATTGTGTATACTGGCTAGTGAAGCCTGCTAGTTTGTTTTATCTTGACGGCCAAGACAACAGCTCCAGTGCATGCTTTTATGTATGGTAATAGGATGAAGATGAAACGCTTTGTAACAATGTTGGCATAACACAACAAAAATGGGTTTGTCTGTTTAATTGTCCTTACGTGGGCAGCTCTTGACACAGGTGGCACCAAAGTTGTATTTTCCATGTGGGTTAGGTACCAGCTGGTGCAAGTTGGGGTCATAGCGCATGAGGCCTGGGCAGGAGTCCTTACACACCCCTTCATCCTGGAAGTCCCGACAGGCCTGCAGCACAAACAACAGTCATCCAGTACACTAGGACCAAAACAGAGCCCCACATTAATGATAACACCGCATTCCTCTGTCACAGCCTTGGCTAAATCCTCAGAGCTACACAGACAGGGAGAGCAGACGCTGATACTCGAGGCACTGCCAAATGAAAGATTTAATCAGCAGCTATATGTCTCACTGGCACTAAAACCAATAATAATACTTGTGATCATAAAAACAGATGCTGCTGAAGGGCTTTGTTTTGTGGAAGGCCTCTTATCCAAATGTTGTTTTTCAAGGTTGTCTCTTCCTGAGTTCCCTGATCATATCATTTACTCCTGTCCTGATTATGAGAGTGTTTTTCTCTCACCAGACATTGGGTGGGCCGTGGTCCTGTGCAGCCTGCGGCACAGTGCTCATTACAGCAGTCACTGGGCGAAGATCCTCTGCATCTCTTAGAGCACTGCTGTGCACAGTTCAGCTTTGTTACTGGAAATGGGGCAAAGTCAGTGGAGTGACCAGTAGCAACAGGGAATTCTTTGTACTTTTGATTTTGAGGCCATATTAAAGCTGAAAATCACATTTTGCATGTTTGAATTATGGCAAAAACAGTAGAGTGTGATGGTTTCACATTTTTGTTGTCGGTATGCAGTGAACATGTTAAAGACCAACCAAGTAACATGAATGCAAAACCCATTGGTTCTCAATAGTAAAGTATGGAAACTAACTCAAAAGATGGCACTGTTTTTAGTCTTTCACCACTAACACTATACACTGTGCACTAACAATTATATGTTATCTAAAACAGCTTATAGATTTTAGCTTTAATGCAGCATTTGTACATGACTTTTCCCCCATGATAAAATTAAATCACAGATCAGAGCTTACGTGTCTGACAGTTTTGAGGACCAGGTGCCCAGCATGACCCATTGAAACAGCTTGAGTCGCATCTTTTACCTGTAAAAGCAAACCACAATAAACAGAGTAATACGTTTACTTTCATTCTTTAGCGATACACAGTGACTTCCTTCTATAGACAGTCTTGTCTTTTGCTGTACAGTGTGTTACTTACAAAGTGGATTGTTGCTGGCCACTGGGAGCTCCATGTTGGGTTTGCTGTCCATGTTGACGATATCATACCATTGTATTGTTTCCACATTGCATAGCAGGCTGGTCCCAAACTTTACACCTCCTTTAAGAATTTCTGCAGAAGAAAACTACTATGTGAATTTGACAAAATTACACAATTAATATTTATAGTTTTTTTTTATAATACTGAGATCCTTTGAGAATATTTAGTTATAGTATATTTTAAAATGCAAAGTTGAACTGACCTGTCAGGCTGGTCAGAAGAAGCTCATTGGTGCCCTGACCTGTAGCTTTGTCATAATTGGCCAGAACGGCGAGTGCAAACCCTCCCTCATAGAGTGAATGACCTCGTATGATGCGTAGGTTCTCCAGGGGAATCCTGGAAGCTGTGTTGAGGGCGATCAGGACATAGCCACCCACTTCCTCAATGGACTGTGAAAGAAAAAAATTGAAAACTTGGTTGTGAACTAACAGTGTAAAGTCAGCTGGTGCTGATCATAAGTTACATAATGATCAATACTGTTTCTGCATGTTAGGAGATGAGCGCTGTCACTCACTGCCTTATCTTTTGACCGCTGTTCAGTTGTTGCTTCTAGTCTTTTTAGAAGTGTATTAAAATATGCACTGGAGGTTGCACTAGTAGTTTTTTCAGCATTGATTGTTGAGTGTAGTTCTTTCTTTCAGGCTGCCTGCAGCTCCAGCAAGCTCCATCATTCAGAGGGTTAAGAAAATGAGATCCACTACTGCATGATGTCTGCTGACTGTACAGTATGTTATGTCTGTGTTTGTGTGTGCAAGTTTGCATGTGAGTATGTGTGGTCCCTCAACACATCTGCCCAGTGTTCAGAACCTTGCCTTAGCAGCTGGGGTTCAAGCAAAGTTTCAACCAGAGGGCTATAAACACAGTGAATCATCTGTCACCATGGACTCACTCTCTTCTGATTTTAATTATCTGCACTAACGCGATAAGAGCAGCAAAGAGCCTGCAAAGATCCAGAACACTGATTGTCTGGCAAAATGGCTTCAGGCCACCAGATAGATAACAAAAGAAAGAAAAAAGCTTGTCCCATCTGTTATAGTATGTGTAGTGTAGTGTTTACCCTGAGAAAGGACAGGTCCCGGTGCTCGTCCATGTAGGTGACCTCCAGGTTCTCTAGGACCACGGTGCAGTTGCTGTAAGTCTTCACCATGTTCTGGTAGTGGTCCTCTTTGGAACCCAGAAGATTTAGACGGTTGGTGATGCCTTGGCATACTGCAGAGAAACACACAAAAAAAAAACCACACCAGAATTTGTCAAACGTTTCTTAATGTTGCTTGAAACACAAGATCCAGTGGTTTGCAAATCATCTGGAATTGCAATGCAGTGTCACAAAAGGATGTATCCAAAGGGCCACAGTCAGAAATATCCACTTCTTATGTAACACCCTGGCTCAATTTATGGCTTTCTCTCTGTTTCTGTGTTTGTGAATTTTGTCTGTGCGGTCATAACTTGGCCAGGTTTCATGCAAAAATAAGTGATCTGGGTTGTATCTAGAATAGGAATCAAATCTCAGCTACAAAGCAAGTTGTGGCTGATGATTCAAAGTGAGTTGGCTGTATTTATACTGGCAACGGGCCTGAAACTTTCCGCTCATATGCAGGCAAGTCAGAAACAACCACAATGACCAGAATCTTCAAGCTCATCGTGTCATTTTGGAGAAAAGATTTGGTGTGTCACAGATTCCATGAGATTCGTGTCTAAATTTCTTGGGGGGAACTTCTGAGATTTAGTAATGGTCTCAATAACTTCATCTTAGTGCAAGTACAACAGATTTTAGGGCATTTTCTTGACATGATGTGAAAACAACATAGGGTTTAAATCAAATCCTGATCCTCAGACTTTCTAGGCTTCAGTTCCAATAACAACAAAGGTGCTGATACAGAGATTCACAGAACTACAATTGTAAGCTGATAATATAGTCTATCGAGTGTTATGCCATAAAATATTTGGATAAAGAAAGCAGTATTATTGATAACTGCAACAGAGTTTTTTTGTTTTGTTTTAAGGAATGTAGTTTTAAAGAAAAAATGCATTTCTTAAGAAAACAGGTTGTGAGCCTGTTTTCAGTCATCCTGATCTGGTCAGACAGGTTTTGTCTGGTTCTGTGTTCAACACAATGAATCCTCTCCAACACCCACTAAAACATACATACACGCAAACATTCTGCATACATGCAATAGATTTTTTTTCATTTCAGGTCTTAATTTAATATGTTGAGGCAAAAGAAAAGATTCTTCCCCGTTTATTACAGTAAAATTTATGGTGTAATGTCTCTTGGGTCACATTCCACAACATGTCTGCTCTTGACTGCAAAGAAAGCCATAACATGCACTCTACGTTCTGAGACACGCCTCACCACACTGTACATAACAGTTAATTTACCGCCAGGCATTTCTGATTGTCCGAATTTAAAACAAACAGTATTATCTTACAGCTCAGTCAAATTTGTATCAGAAACCAATATTTTGTACTTTTCCTCTACTGTGAAAAGCATTGGCCCTGGTCTCGAAGGCTTCTACTGTGCAGTTTACACATGTTGTTGTGCTGATTTCACACAAACCAACAGCAAGTGGCACCTAATCAGTAAGAATTAGGCTCCCCCCCCCCCTTCTTCCTCCTCATTAGTTTGTCCCTGTGGGATCTCCCTGACATGAACCTTGTGGTCCAGAAGCCCAAATGCCCAGGCAACAGAGGCAGACTAGCAAATACAAGCTGACTGTTTTAATTAGAAGAGCTATATAGTATATAATTAGCCTGCAAATTATTCCTCAGACTAAGAAAGCACACTGTATTTAAAAAAAAAAAAAAGGCTGTCATGATTATGCAGCTGTGAATATTGATCAGCTTGATTAGGGCATTGCAAATGACAGTTTGTTAATAGGGATGCTGATTATGGTTAATTGGTTTGTTATTATGCCATATACATCTATGTAGATCCCCCAGATGCACAGATAAAGCCTGCTTCCTGTCTGAATGTTTTGTTCTGTTAATCTTTGTGATGAGCAATAAAGGCTAGATGGAGCAGGTGACTAAAGGTTCAGCAAACACCCTCCAACTGAAGTTCGTACTTGTGTGGTGCACAATGAAGAAAAAACTTGCTGATTGCCCAAGCAAGCAGCAGTATAGCCTCAGTAAACATGTTCCTAGCCTAGTCATTCATTTCTGATCTCTGTAGTAAACGACCTGGTATTTCATAGCCATAAACTGTAGTTTAAAACATTGTCATAGTTCTACCTGGCAGCCTTCTAGAAATAAAAATGAAACTCATATCTGGGTTAGATGTGTCATAAAAGGCTGCAGACTACTGTACCGTTCTACTAGTCAGTGGTGGAAGAAGTACTCAGATCCCTTACCAAAAGTACCAATACCAAACAAGTACCAGTCCTGCATTCAAAATGTTCCTTAAGTAAAAGTGCAAAAGTATTAGCATCAAAACATACTTAAAGTACTAAAAGCACAAGTACTCATTATGCAGAATGGCACATTTTAAATTAATGTATATCAAATTACTGATTTATAATTATTGATGAATTATTGTGTACATCACATTTAATGGTACAGCTGGTAAAGGGCGAGCGCGTTTTAACTAGCTTATACGTTTATAATTTGAAGTCTTTTACATACTGCTGGAAATTTATTCTTTCAAGCATGTAAAGACAGTTGATATGTCAACACACATAATTTTACACGTATCCAACAAATGCTAATCCAATATCAATTTGCTTATACCTAGTACATGCTTGAATGGAGTAGGAAGAAGTCAGACTTATCCAGTCCTACCCCATGACATCATCTTACCATCATTGGTTTGCAAGCAGTATCTCTACATAGATAATTCTCTTCTACACCACACAAGTAATATACTAAAGAATTATAACAGAGTGTTAACATTCGTACATAATTACATTCTTAAATACTTATCTTCTACACCACACAAGTAATATACTAAAGAATTATAACAGAGTGTTAACATTCATACACCACACCACACTGGGGTCTGCAGTGATGTAACTGATAATCTGACAAAGACTAATTAGCTATTGCTTCACTTCCTCCAGCTGTATTGACGTCACAAAATGTCCAGGAGGTAGAAGTGGGAGAAAGGAGTGGCAAGACTCGTATATCTCTGCTTCAGTACTGTATGCGTGTGTGTGTGTGTGTGTGTGTGTGTGTGGTTGGGAGGTGTGTACTGGCAGGTGTGTATATATTGTACAAAACATTACCTGGATTGCACAGTGCTGATCATTAGTCATCTAAGGTAGTCACTATGTACGGCTGCAAATGACTCTTTTGATGTTTACTTGGGATTGGTGCTGGAAGTCAAGGGTGTGGGAGCAGATATTTGTTTCTAGAGGCTATAAGATCTGGGCAACTACAAAAAAAAAACTGTCTAAGCTTATTCTGCGGGATAATAAACTTATCAATACAAACAAGTGTTTACCCACAAAGCCAATATAGTGTACAGTACAAGATGTATTCTTCTTTAGCTTTAAAAAGAAAAACACACTTATGTTGAGAACTCACATGCTACTGTTAAGGAGGAGACCTGCAAACTCTGTATTTGACTGTATCTGTATGGTAACCAGAAAACACCCAATAAAACAACATTACAACCTACAATGTAAGAAATTTTATGCCGTGTCTCAACAAAATTTCATCATGTATAATCTTACCAAAAGCAGTATGTATGAAGGAGCATTGTACAAGATTGCATATACATATTTTATGCTAGTTGCTAACATCAACATCTCCTTTACTGTGTTTGAGCACCGGGCTGTAAATCCTTTTGTTTTTTAAACTTTAGAGCTGAAAAACTTATCTGACAGAAAAAATGGAAACATGTGAAGCAGGGTATAAAACCAAATTTACAGTAAACATCTGAGACACATTAACTAAACATAGTAAGATCAAATGTACATAGTGTATCAGCATTAACCAAAAGGAAAAGGTCAAAGTTTGCCATAAGTTCACATTTTACACTTGGAAACTTTGTATTTTTCTTGCAGCAAGAGGAAACACTGAATGTCCACAACGCAAACCAAACTTTTCTGGGATACGACAACAACTTTTCAGACTCATCTAATGGTTTCCTTCATTACACTACATGTAAAGCATAATCCATTATACCTTAGAACAGAAATGGCCTTGCTGTCTTCCTCTCTTTTGCTACCTGAAATTTAATTATGCTGTGCCCAGAGTCTGATAATTACATTTTCTGAAAACGTATCCACAATTAAAGGGAAGTAACAATGCTAACTGATATGACTTATTTATTACTCTCTCCCAGTCAACAGCATTACGGTAAAATCTCTTATCTAACTCAATCTGCAGTGTTCCTCCATTGATAACAAATCAATGCCAAGATTAATTCCCCTATTTAGAGGTAAATTATGGGTAACTTCCCCTATACCTCTCTGCACATGTATGGTAAGAGGCTGCTCCTAAAAGGAAAAAAAAAACACACACACATACAATATGCTTTCATTAGCCTCATTTTAGTCAGGGCTCCTTCAAGTTGCACTGCCTCAAATCTCCAGATGTTTAAATTTCAGGAAAGCATAAATCTCTCAAAGCCCACTATCAGTGAATGAAAGGCGAAAAAGTCCCTTCCTTGATTCTTTCTGCGCATTCAGCTCACACTTCCTCCTCTTATGTTTTTTGACTGACCGAGATTCAGGAGATGAAGGATCAAATGGCATATAAAGACAAAACCAGCATGTGCATTCTCCGGTGGTGCACTATGTTTGTATAAGCACACTTTGCAGTTAAGACTTTAAAAATGCCTGATATCCTGTTCTCTGTAAGGGGGAAACGCAATCTTCCTTTGCGTGGGAGATGCATCAGTCCCTTAGAGAAAACATCTTGGGGCCTCAGAAAAGAAAAAAGGGGCCAGAGGATACCCCACCCCTTATTTCCCCTCCCTATCCCCAGTGAATGCAACAACACAAACCCCTCTGACATCTCCGGAAACTGATCTTTGCACAGGGTCCGTCTCATAAGGCTATCCTGTGATGCTGAACCATATGGTAGCTGAATGTCGTCTCGAGGGGAGGAGGACAAGAGGACAGTGAGAGGAAAAAAGAAAGTAAAAAGAAAAAGGGAGAGTCAGAGTGGTTTGTGGTTTAGCTAACCGAAGTTGTGGATGCAGCAGCCAGCTGTGGGGTCAAACTGTGGACAAGGGGTGTAAAGTCTAACACTTAATGTATGAACAT